CAACCCCAAAATAAAAAGGAAGGGGAAAAAAGAGAGTAGAGGAGGAACCAATAGAAAATCAGCAGGCATGTAAAGAGAAAGACACTTGAAGACAAAGTAGAGTACGACACCACTGTACAAAATTAACTGAAAATGACATCAATCATAATACATTTAATCTTATAATGAGCAAAATGTATAGCATTATGTTTCATTTCATACCTCAGTACCTTCTTTTATGCACTCATCGTACTGGGTTTATGCACTCATCGTACTGCCCAGTTTTTAAGTAACATGACATAATATTCAGGGAACAAGCCAATAGAAGACTTATGCCTTTCACAGCAGGAATGCCTGACAGATTTTTCTTTGCCTGGTAATCAAAAGAAAAGAAATATAGAGAACTGACAGAAGCGTGATGTGTGTAGAACTGTAGATACAAACAAATGCTGAAGGCAAAGGTTAGACTTACAACCGAATACTTTTGAAGGGCATCCTTAAATCTTCCCTGGCTGTGAAGTTCATTTCCCTGCCATTAAACACCGGAATACTTAATACACTAGATTAGGACATAAACCAAAGCTTCCGTCAAGTACTATATAGTCATTATTTCAGCATAAATGCTGTTAATGTACTAAAATCAAAGTTTAAAGGCATAAAAGCCAATTTTTTTGGACTATTTCTCGATTGTAATATCACGTACAAGAGTAAGTCCTCAGTCACTGGATCTAATTGTGCACATACATCAGAATTATTGCTTAGTTAAGTTTACGTTAAAAGTTGTAAACCAAAATATACCTGTAGTTTACAACTTAAAAGTGTTCATGTAACACACAGGAGAGAGAATTTCAATTAAAGATGGCAAGTAGTAGAAAAGCTGGCCGATAAACTGTGAATATCATATGTTGCAGGAAGTACAATGCACTTAAAGAAACATTTAGCATTTTAGATAGTTTAAGCTGGTTTCATATGAAACTTATATTGATATGAAATTTAAATCCAGCTCTCATGCTCTTAGAAAGTTAATTCTCTAATTAGTTTTTGCAAATAAGCTCATTAAGTAATTGGTCTTCTTTAATGGTAATCTTTTGTATTCAGTCTATTGTTTAAGGAACTAAGCTTTGCAAAAACTGCAACTTCCTAATATAGAGAAGTGGTATTAAAATAGAAGTCATTTTTTAAAAGAGAAAAGATGCAATTAACAAATCTGGACCAGAACAACTCAGATATAGCTTTAACAAGCATAACCCCATATCTGTGCTGCAGGCAATTTACCTGCTTTTTCAGCAACTGAGCTCCACTTAATTCATAAGAAACCTGTGCATCCATACGGGCACGCATTGCTGCTATTTCTTCAGGTGATGCATTAGCCATCTTCTCACCAATCTCAGTCATCTCCGTTGGGTGGGTATTCTTCAACCTTCAAGTCCTCTGGTTTCATGTTTTTCATGCCTTCCGAAGCCATTCTAATTAACATGATGAGACATCATCTGCATGATTGGGATTATTAATCACAGACTACTGTCAAATAAAGTCGAAATCACAATCTAGCCCACCTTGGAGAGCAAAAACAATAAAAAGAAACAGAAAAGAATCTAACTATTTAGAGATGATCTGAGCAAACATGCCACACAAAGTTAACTGCACTCAACTTAGTTTATTCCGAGTAACATGCAATTATGCTACCTGCCAAAAGCAATTTGAAGGTTATAGTTCAGTAGCCACCCATTAGATTTGAACTCCCAAAACCACGGATTAGATATACCATAATATTCTAGAAAGTGGAATTAATTAAGTACTTTGTTTTACAGGCGACTCTTAACCGTAGACGTTTAATTTGCTCCATAGATAAGTTGAGAAGCACAAACATTACCAACTGAAACCACAAATAACAACCAGCTTGCAGTAAAAACCGTCTTTACCTCATACAGTGACTCAAATCTTCAATTTGGCCCAAGTAGCGGGAAAAAAAATTCTAAAACACAAATGATCAGAACATATCCTACTCCATCTGAATAACCACAAGTAAATGGTGCATACAATTACATTCAAATTGAATGACACCCTTTATGAGAACAAACTCAAATCACACTTTTTAGAGCTTTAGTAAAAGGGTACTCAACAATAGGGACCTGCTGCAGAATTCACCAACTCAAACAAAAAAACAAAAACAAAAAAAAAAAGGTTCTTCAGATCCTAATGATCAAACTTATTTTTCTTTTTAAAGAAAAAACCTTTACTACCTAAATAACTAAAATTAGATCATGCAAAGCAATTACCATAAAATCCAACTATGCCCTTCACACAGAACAATCACAAAGATGAGAAATTTGAGACTTTAAGAAAAACAGGATACAGGAACAGGGACAAGCTGCTAAATTCATTAATTCAAATCTTCAGTTGTCCCAAAAGTTTTTAAAAAAAAAAAAAAAAAAAACACCAAGACCCTTATGGTTAAAATTTACAAGAAGGCCCATTATATCTTAAAACTCAAAACTTTATCATCCAACAATTACATCCAAATTCAACTATGCTTTATATGAACAATCACAATTCACAAAGTTAAAATAAAGATTGAGAATTTCAGAAAATGAGTATATTAATATAGGGGACCTGTTGCTGAATCCGAGCAAACTCAGCTGGAGACATTCGATTCATCTATTCTTGAGCCATTCTGATCAATTCAGGATCCATCATGCCGTTGAACATTCTCAAAACCCAAAACCCCAAAATTTGAATTTTTATTAAAGTCCCAGTTCAAAATGGTTGAAAATTTGATGGTTAACCACAGACAAAATATGCGGAATTTGATTAAAAGGTTTTTTTTATGTGATTCCAAGAATAGTAAGAATCTGTACAAAAAGTTATTAATATTAGATATATTTATAGGTAAAAGTAATACTCACTATAGTAATATTGATCTATGGTACAGGAGGAAAATTGGTCTTAATTGTAATAATCGAATTCGGTGCTTCATTAATTTCGCATTATCTTTTGGAATGGGTTGCATGAGTCATAGCTCGTATTTCACACATAATTAGGGGAAGAGCCCTAATCTACTTTAGTACAAGCATCAGAAATTTATGTAAAAATAGCACGGTATAGCCAGTTTTCGACTAGTCATTCAAAAATAGTCAGCGTTTATGAAGTCAATAAAAAATAGTCATTATTTTGCCGCAACAGAGACCGGTCCAGCATGATATACTGGAGTTCGGTGCACCTATGTATGAACTCCAGCATATTATGCTGGACCGGTATACTTTGCTGACTCCAGTATAATATACTGGAGTATCGGTGCTCCAAACTCCAGTATATTATATTGGACAATTATACTTGCTGGAACTCCAGTATATTATGTTGGAGTTCTAGTGTACGTATGCTGGAACTCCAGTATAATATGCTGGAGTTCAAACTGGAGTTCAAACTTATCCTGGAACTCCAGTATAATATGCTGGAGTTCAAATTCAAGCATACTTATGCTGGAACTCCAGTATAATATACTGGCGTATTTTCCGGGTTTTGAACAATATTTTCGTTCAAATTTATCTTTATATGAAAAATGGCTAAATTTCGATTACTTTTGAAACTGAACTATTTTTGAACGACCAATTGTAAATTTGGCTATTTTTGAATTTCTCCCTAAATTTATGCCACATCATACTTGAGTGAGGCTCTCCGTGGACCCCAGCCTTCGTCATCATTCTTGACCTACTCTCACTTTCCAATTCATTTTCTCATTTTATTTATTCTTCTCCACTCCTCAGTACACATAATTGATTATTTGCAACCATATCACGACTGTGAGGTAAATAGAACTAATCCATGAAAATTAAATTAATGTTATGAATAGTTTGTACATTAGATGCTACTTTGGATGCTATATTGGATGCTCATGTTGTGAATAATTTAAAGATTAAATTTTCTATTTTATGTTCATCATCTTTACTTTTTATGCCTATAAAAGGTCATGCAATTGCAATGGAAAGATACACACAATTGAAGAAGAAAGTCTCTTCCTTCTCTCTATCTATATTTCTTGTTCATATTTTACTAAATTGCTTTTATTTCATAACACGTTATCAGCACGAATTGCTCACAAAAATATGAACATGAAGCGGACAAGCCTCTATTTATTTTTGTTCTGTCACCGCTGGATTCTTCAAGGCAATCCGGTTTCATTCCCAGAAAAAAAATACGAAGCTAACACACCTTATGGCGAGTTATGGTGATTAATACAGTAAGTAAAGAGTTATAAAATGGTTGAGCCATTAACTAAGGTTTGTATCTCTAACACTGAGGCTTCTTTTGTCAATGACGTTGTCGATGTCATTTGTCATAATATGATTTCTTTTCTTCAAATTTATGTTTTTGTGGACTTTCACTTCTACTGGGTCAAATAGATGACCAAATATAATCTTTCAATAGGTTATAAGTATTATCTTACAATACTAGTTATGTATCATGTCAAATCACATAGCTAAATTGTTACTGAAGTTGCATGATAAAGACCTTAGTGTAATAAGTGTATTCATATTAACCAGTATCGTTGCTAGATGCATTTAGTACATTTTAAGTCATGCTAATTGACTTGTATAATTTTATGACGTATAACATACTAACTGGATATACCGGCGATTTAGACATATTTTGGTACTATCTAATTAACGAATTTTGTCAAGTTACTATGATAGCTTTATATCATATTTGTGCACCACTTAATTCGTTTTATTTGTCCCAGCGCACTATAAGGGTAAGACATCGGGTTCAAGTCCTGATGCACTATGGTGATAAGAGTTGGATTTGAATACAAACTTATTATGGCCTAGCATGCTTTTATATGGGTAAGGCATTGTGTTTTAGTCCCAAATGCGCCATATTGATGATATAATGATGACTAAAGAAAAATAGTAACATATTTTTCATGAAAAAAAAAAGCATGAAGCATGTCCCACTTGATTTGCACCATTCTTGAAGTGAATGTGGTAGGAGCGCATAATAAATCTAAATGAAGACAAGTGGTTGACCAATGAACATGGGCATGTCAAAGACAATAATAATAATCATCATATGATAATTGTAAAAATGAGAACAATAAGGGTTCTCAAATATTCCTACAAAATATGAAGGTGATGTT